ACCGCTCTCTAAAGTGATGGTTTAATTTTTCTAAGCGGGTTGAGCAAAGGTCTTGGGCCTCTGCTACCCTGTGCTTTGGGACTGAATGTATATATAACATGGGAGTTGTTTCCACCTTTCAGGAAGATTCAGGTATTTAAGAGAGTGTTCATCAAAAAGTGATGCCGAATGCACATGCAGGGACGGGTATCACTGCAGTGGAGATGGCTGCTCCCGCTGCGACAGAAACTGTGGCGTGGGTGAGGAGAACACAGGGAGCGGTAAGGTCACCTTTCCCCATTGGCTTAAGCCTCCTGTGTCCGCTGCACTGCACACAACATGGCCTCTCACCCAATGCAGAAAGGGGAGCTGTAAGGACCTCACACGATAAAAGCTGCCAGCACTGCTAAACAGTTTGCATACTACGTGGAGCAAGCATAGACATGCTCACCAAAATCTGAGGCCTCTGGAGGCTCAAATCACATCTGCATTAGTTCCCTTTGCCTGGCAGCTGCCTCATGGCCAGCACATGGGAAACAGAGCTGGGAACTCTGGAGTTAAACGTGAGCTGCAGCAGCTTGTGCTAAGTTGGCTCAGTAGCCAACTATTGTACTAGTCCACAGCTCATGGGGATGGACACAGGGAAAGACTTACCTTGTGTACTCAAAGCAGCTTGTAAAACATTAACTGATGACAAATCTTTATGAATGTGGATTGTAGTTATTCTACGAGCAGGCAATAACAATGTTTCATGTGTTGTTTTAAATGGTCCTCTTATGTAAATAGTGCATGTCTGTCCTTGTCTGTTGAAGGCTGCCAAGCTTGCCGCTATGGAACTTTTAACGATCAACCCAATAGCTCCTGTAAAAACTGGACAAAGTAAGTAATCAAAAAATAAATGATACTGCTATTGCACTTGACTGAATTCATTTCCATGACTTTGTTTGTTTTTACTTTACATATTTTTCAGATGCTCTGCAACTGAGGTTCTGAAGCCTGGAACTACAGCAAAAGATGTGGTTTGCAGGCACACTTCAGATAGTCCTGCTTTAGCCACTACTCTAGCTACCACTTCTCCTGCATTTCCATTTTCTATCACTGTGCCAAGTGAGTCATCACATAATATTGTTTAATTACAGCTAAAGAGTTATGACTTTTTTTGAAACATACTGTAGCTCGCAGACATTTAAACCAAGAGTACCTTCTTATATACATTTCCAGTATTGCAAACTAATACAGAAGCAGACATGTTGAGATGGTGACAAGGAAGTTGGCTAATTCAGCTGCAGTAGAATTTTGTTCTGTGACACTTAAGAGAACACTGTTTGCCTCCTAGGGAAGGACCTCCAGATGGATATCATCAGAATTTCTCTTGCTGTAACTGGGCTGTTGTGCATACTGTTTCTGCTCCCTTTGTGCATATGCTTCAGCATCTGGCAGAAAAAGAAACTACATGCTGTCTTCAAGAAAAGTAAGATAGACATACTCTCCAGTTGAATTTTTCTTTTTGAAACTAGACAGAAATTAAGAATCCAGGTTTAAGTGCCTTTAAAAGATAGTTACAGATAACTTGACGGTTTTCTTTGGAAGTCAGATACAGCAACTGAAAGGAATCTGAAGTTTTGGAATTTTTATTACAGTCAACTCTCAATTATCTGTGGCTGTTTTATCAATGTTGCAGGTTAACTGTGACCACATCCATAGAGGTGAAAAAGAGCTCAGCTGAGCCTTGCTTATCCAGTTTTGTTTTTTTATTCCCCAGTACCATCCCTGGCACGTGTGGCAGTAGCGCTTTCCAGTTCTCTCGGCTCAGAAATAGTACCTAGAGCGCTCAGGCTCTGGGCCATAAGGCCAGCTAACACACAGCACCAACTATACTGCCTTTTGTTGTGCTCTGTGGGCGTCTCTGCACTTTGCCTTCAGTAAAAGAGGGAATATCAAATCAGGACATGTTGCTACACAGACCCAGAGCCAGTTTGAATCTAGAACTGCCCTCTGCTAGCTAATAAGCCCTCCGGGGAAGCTCTGGAGTTGGGCAGAGAAGAGGTGAAAAGTGTATTTTATCAGCTCCGGTTTGGCGCCACCTAAAGGCTCTTTTATATTTGCAGTGAACTCTGCAGTAAGTTTTCCCATTATTTGTAGAATACCAGTTAGCATTACTCTGTATAATGGAAAGCAACTGTAATCATAAGTTAGACTAATAGAAGTACTTATTTACAGCTTCCCACGGGTTACAAAGAAGCACCTCCCTCTCCCCCCCCCCCACCCCCCCCCCCCCACTCCTTTGCAGCAAACACTGCAACATGAAATTACACAGGAGACTACTGTCCCCAGGAAATAGCTTTCTGAGATTTACTGTTGAGGTTGGCTACCCAACCTATTTACTGTGGTGTAAGCTAGGGCTGAACGTTTGTCAGCTGCCCTCGGGGTAGTTCCATGTGTGGGAACAGATCAAATGCTGAGCATTCACAGCCTTCTCTCAGATAAGTTTAGCATCATCTGTGACTCTCTGTGGATATTCTTCCCTCACCCTTCCTAAGAAGTACTACCATTTCTGTACTTGGCACTTGAATGCACTTGGATGCAGGTTTCTCCAGAAAGGCATGATCAAAGAAATTTGTTTTGTACTTCTTTCATTTTGATTTTGAATTCCCCCAATAAATGCAGTGGAATTCTAGACATAACATGCTAATACATCCAATTCCAGGGCTTTAATGACTATTCATTGGGTGTGTGCAATTTTTATTTACCTAAAATAAGTATTCCATTATTTTAAATTATTGCCTTAGAGACACTTTTACATCCTTTCACCATTCTTCTGTTGTATTAAAAGATTATCAGGTCTCCTCACTTCTTTTCCCGTGGGAAGAGTATACAGTCCTTGCTCTTCCTGGAAGTGTACCCTTGACACAGTTTGTCATGTTTCAGTGCTTTCCAATCTCATTATAACACTGATTTTCTCCAGACAGCATTTATACCTTCCCTACAGACTAGAGGAAACAAACTAAGATAACTGAAAACTCAAAATATGAAATCCCAACAAAATGAATGCTTTTTTTCATGTCTCCACTTCTCAGCTTTTTAAATGCATCCGTCATTACTTCTCTCTATATATGCTGCCAATGTACTTTGTATATTGTTCATTTGTTTGATTATATACCCTTTGATATGTACTCCTCAAGTACAGGGTTGTTAGTTAGCAAAAGCAGATTAATTATCCTAATTATCTGAAAGCCAAACATTTTAGCCACAGAATCTTAAGACTCATCTTATAAACAGTATCTGAATAAGCGTGTACCTGTTCTTCTATAGCACACAGTTAAATCTTACCTGGTATTTTATTAAAAAAAGTGGTAATGTAAAGTCAACCTTTGAACAGGCAACTAGGAAAAACACCAGTTTTTTCTTTCCTAGGGATAAAGGCTTGATCCTCTAGTGTGATTCTGATTATAGGAGAAAATAGCATTACTCCAAAAATCTAACAATTCCACGTTGTTCACTCTTCCTTTCATCCCTGTGGCAAAGAAAGCGCTGGCAGCCCCTTGTGCATTGGGGAAAACAAAGTATGATAAGTTAACGTATCAGAAATATCTTTGTAGAGGAACAATTTAAGATCCTGCTGACGTCCTGCAGTTGTGACTGAAGGGTGGAATAAGATGGCTGGATGAATTCAACAGAATGTGAACATTTGCTCTTTTCCATTAGTGCATACCACACTTGAACAGTCAATTCAGGAAGATGATGCCTGCAGCTGCCGCTTTCCTGAGGAAGAACAAGGTGAATATCAGGACTGTGGCAAATCCACAGAATTCAGAGATCCTTTGGTGAATTAGGAATTAGACTGTCTATGTCAGCCAAATTCTTATTTCCTTTGAGAACACAGAACAAAAACCCGCTTACATAATAGAAAGGGTATCAGAATCTGTGAATTTCAGAATGCTGAACAGCCCAGCCAGTAAGGAGAAAGTGGATCTTTTTTTCTACTTCTTAAAAACAAACAAACAAAAAGCAAACCCACCAAATGAAATCAACCAAACAACAAAAAACCTGTCCCCCTCCCCCAGGAGTTTGTTGACTTTCTTCTCCTCCCAGTAATAGTATTTCTAACATACCGTACTTGATCTACGGACTTACATACGCACATCACTTAAAAGTAATAGTAGAAGGGCAGTATGGCTTTCTGGTCCCTCTTATAAATGATGTCTGGGCTATAATTTACATGTAACCTGAAAGCAAGTCTTTAAGGGATTTGTAGTGCTTAACAGAGCCACTTGTGACACTGATGGTCTGTGTATTGCCGTTACCAACCATTCTCTTGGGTTTGAAACCGCAGCTCCTCTTCAAGCATGGCTCAAACCCACGTGTTGGGTTTGGTGTACACATACAGATAGATCCCATTTCAAACTTTCAGATCCCATCAGCCCTGGATGCAGATAGCTGATCTGACCTGCACTCAGCTTCCTAGTTAGAAGCAAGGAAGATGTAAAAATCTAGAGCTGCAAAAAGTTTGATAATAGCTTGCATCTGCTGTTGTATTACACAGATTGGCTTAAGAGAGGCAGTGGAAACACTGAGAAAAGCTGTGGTTGACTTGATCTTAGAAATAGATGTTACCATGCAGCTGGACTGCAACATCTTGAAGCCTACATCATTCAACTTTGATCTTTCAAATGATGTAAATATGTTATGTACTTTGCAGATGTGGTAAATGTACAATGTGATACATTTCTGTTACTATTTTTGTAACTCTGAGGTTGGAAAGATTTTAACATCAGACAGTGTATCTGTCTTTTTGATCAATTACTGTTACCTTAATTTTAAAAGAGAAAAAAGAAAATGCATGTTTGAGTCATGGCATTGGCAATTATACTTCTAACCTTTTACAAAACCAAACAAATATCTTATTTCTGCAGTACATGTTATTTGAAAATAGAATGAAAACCCAGGCACATGTTATGTAAAGGGTGATTTTTTCCCTGTGACTTAAAAGAATGCCGTTGTGCGTGAAGAATGACAGGCTATCTTTCCGTTCAACAGAAGATTAAGATAGAAGAAGAATATTTTCACCAAACCACACTTACTCGTTTTGATAAGCTTATATATAAGTGTTTTAACAAACCAGCACTGTGAGAAAATAAACGTAGTACTGAAGCCTGGACGGCAAAGTTAACTATATTTAAATAAAATTTATTTTTTAAAACCCTCCCCCAGGTCTCCTTGCCTCTCTATTGGTACTTTCAACCAGATATATGCAAATATTACATTTTACAACAATGCACCTCTTTCAGCCACAGAAGCAGGGTAAAATACTTGTTAAATTTATACTCTTTCTATGAAATAGTTAAATTATGTCTACAGAGTAGACACATATTTATAAATAAGAACCAAGAAGCCCTGAAGAGACTGAAAGATAAGTTATTTTCAAAAGTAAAATAAATCATAGTACAAACGCAAAGGGAAGACTGGGGCACTTTCTAGAAGGATTGCAGCGCTTACTTGCTACCAGAATGACAGCAGCGCTAAATTTTATTTGGCAATCATCAAACTGAATACATACAGGTGAATTAAGTTGTTTTGCCAGTGCAGGTGTTTTCATAACAAAAGCAACACTGTAAATACTAAGATGGCTGGAGCATTTAGTAGTTTTCAGTTTTATACAATATTCAAATTCTATAAGTTAGGGATTTTTATAAAGATTTGAAATTATAGCCATAGATTCATGGACTATCTTTGAACATAATTTGTCATTGTGATCATTTGCCTTCACTGTGATCACATAGGGCAAATAAATTAGAAGCTTGTTTCCATTCTAAATCTCACAGAAAAGTACTGAAGAGGTTGCTTACATCCTCCTTTTCATTATGCGTGTAACAGAGACGGCTGTAATGCCACTGTCAGCAGGCTATGAAAACGCAACGTGCAGACTCATCACTTAAATTTGTTCAAAAGTTGGCACTACCGAAAAGCCACATATTTGCAGTTTCCTTGAATTTTTAAGAAATTGTTCGTTTGTCTTCTGAAAAATTGCACTGCAGCTAATAAGACTTCACTCTAATTAATGTGAGGATCAGTATAAGTTGCTAATACACAAATCACAAAAACAGGAATAGCGCAAGCATCTGATCTAATCATTCATGAAGCCTTTTTTCTTTTTTTTTTTCGTTTTTTTTTTTTTTTTGAGTATTTTGTTCTCTCAAGCTTTTATTAAAAATGGAGTATATTAAGATTTAGGGATTATCTTTTAATCTAAAAGAAGAGAACATTGTTTTCATTAGATTAAAAGAAACATGGTTGTCAGAATTAATCTTCTACCAGTTTTCCTGAGCAGATTTTGTATCCAAATTTGTCTGTTGCTTAACACAGAGGATGAATAGCCTTCCTGCATGCATGCTGAACTCCGTACAATCCTTCACCCAAACAATAAGGGTGAAGGGGAACAAACTGTAACTATGTAGCTCTGATTATTGGTAATTAAGGCAGGAGGAGTAAAACGTGACTCTCTCTAACTCAAAACCAAGGCTGTGGAAAAGAAATATACAAAGCAAAAACAGTTAAAAATTATGGGATTAATTACTGCTTACATCCTTGCTTGTTTGCTCTGGCTTCTTTCTTCCACCCTAGCTTTTCAGGCTGAAGTTTGGTGGAGCAAAGGGAGGTTTAATGGGAGTCTCATCCATGTAATCAAAGAGGCCATCAGCTGTGACTGGATAACACCTGGAAAAAGGGAAAAGCCTGAATAACTACTGCAGAAAGTAACAAGAGCACTGAGAGGAGGCATGACTCAGAGAGCTAGACATGTAAACATCCTCAGTAAAGAATAATTTGTGAGGATGACAGAGGAGCTTATCTTTCCTTGTCTTTAACATTAGGTCCAAATCTTCATTGGAATTTTGGGGACGCTTTTACCTGAAGAAGTATGGAGTATTACAACATTTGTATATTGTTCCAAACTGGGGGCAGGGGGAGAGGGGGAAGGAATCTGTAAAAATTCTTTTTTTTACCTCCAAATATTAAAAAAAAAAAAAAACTGAGCCAAAAATATGTTAACAAAAATAGGACAGGTAGTCATTGTTTATCTGGCAACCTTGATCTGGAACTTAACTTGTGTAGTTTCATTTCATTCACATCCTAAAACTACTTCTTACTCATTCTTCAGACCTCTACAAACACTACTACTTGGAACTTGGCTTTTAAACTGATTCTTTGCAGAGAGTTAAACAGAAGTACTCCTCATACTGAAAGCTCTAGTTTGTTACCTGTCTTTTTTGATAGGTCATATGCATCTTGGATGCACAGGTAGCTCTTTTTGAGCTACCTGAGTAGAGAAATATTCTTTAATATCTGAATAAACTTAACATTTCACATGGAAATAATATGGGTCACTTCTAAACCTCTGAGCTGTAACTCTTGTTTGCTTTCTGTGACTTTCTCTTTTCTCAGCAGTCCTTCTCATTTATTATGTAGCAAGCAAAAAGGAACTGGGAATGCCATGATGACTTTCAAGCAGCCCAGGTGGCTGAGGATGAGGTAACAGGCCAGATGCAAGCTTTTCACTTTACCATTTGTTTTTCTTGGAAGTCAGAGAGTGTCCTTCTAGCCAGACTGTGTGTGGAGGCCTTGGTGATGTCATGCCAAAATTCGAAAGGCATGGAAAAAGGAGAAACATCCTCGTTAAAGATAAGTTTAAGCAGGGGAGCCTGCTGCCTTTTTATTGCTTCCAGAACCAGTATCATTTCCTGGCACGTTTACTCGTAGCAGTAATTGAAACCTTGGTCATCAGATGCCTTGATTTTATAGTTTCTTGGAAGACTTGTGTAGTTAAGGAAAGCAAAAGGTTTTCTGTCTCTTGCTCACTCTCGTCTATAAGTAAACAACATCTAGGTATGCTTGTGCATTTCTGTGCCCAATACTTCCAGGTAGGAGAGACTCCGAAATTGTTATAGCTCCTCTCAAGCATATAAACATACGATCATTCCTTTAAACAGAACATGATTTCTAATTTTCAGTGTTTCTACCAGATCTTTCATACTTACTCTGTCACTGCAGCAAGTGCATCTTGCTCAGTGTGAGCTCCTCAGACACCTCCTTCTGCTTCGAGATCTCTTCCTCCTTCAGATGCTCCGATTGCATATCTATTTCCTATAAGCAAAAACAAGGCTTATTGTTTAGTGAATACTGGTCTAGTTATAAGATCTCCCATAAAACAGGTGGATTATATAGAAAAATCTCTCTAACGCTGTGGAACGCTCATGAGGTTTTCAAATGGAATCAACACTATTTAAAGAACTGAGGACACCAGATGCGTTCCTGTATATTGTGCACCCCGGGTAAAGCTACGCGCTATTTGAAACACATAACAACTTATCTTTTCCTAAAATAAAGCTAGTGGGCAGCCTTCGTTGACAGTCATTCTGATACTAACACCAAGCCCACAAACTACTCTATAGGAGATGATTCACTCTGAAGGGACTTAATACATAGGAAAAGTTATCTATTAAGCAGATAACTTGTACCCAACCACTTGCATATTATACAGGTCAAGGCCAGATGCCTTGGCCGGTATAAACGTGAAAAGCTTACATCTAGCATGCCTAACATACAAAGTCAAGGTAAATCTCACTACTAAAATGATAAAGTCTTATTCTCTCACTAAGGGCTACCTCATTTTTCTTCTCAGCTCCCAACAAGCCTTCCCTGCTATAGCAAAGATCTAAGTACCATTTAAAATATGTACCGGAACTATGTATTTTCCTGCTCTCTGCTTTCTTCAGAATCTCTCAAAGTGCTCCATCCCAATTACCAGCTACTTTGCATGTTAGCTGTGCATCAGGAACACGTCTGAGCATCCTTCTGCCGCTGGAACTGGCATGAAGATGACTATGGGATACTGTAATTGCCCTCACTGTAAATAGGAACTTTTTATATCATCTTCAAAGAAAATGGAAATTCCCTCTAACTTCAATTTGGCAAGAACTTGTTATGATATCACCTACTATGTTTCCTTTCACCTTCTAGATCTTGGATGCATGCCAGTTAAAGCAACTGATTATTGCTGCAATGCTCTGAAGCAAACTAGACTTTATTTTAATGAAAAAAAAAACCCACCACCAACAACAAACAGCTGAACATCCTTTGAACAGTGCAAATCTCTGCTGTTTGTCCTGTTTGCATTAAGAAAATAAATCAGTTTTATTTGATTAAATGAATGAAAAACCCCATGCAAATACACCTACTTAAATTTAAGGTTGATTTATTATAGTTTATCTTACTACTGTTAAAGCTACTCTCAATCCATGTAATCTAAACTGAAACAAGACATTTTAAACCTGAAATAAATGTCCAGGATACCCATTTAAGCCAGAAACTGCAGTTTAGGTTAGATTGCCTCACTTCTCCTCTCTTGTACACCAGCATTTCATCAAGTTTAGAACAAAAGCTATTCTGGAAAAAAAAAAAAAAAAAGAGGAAGGATGGCTAGAAAGGTGAAATCGACAATCTGTCTTTAACTCTAATGCTATAGAGTAGAGAAATATTTCTATAAAATTCCTTCAATATTCACAGCACTGATATTTTGTTGCCTTCTGTTTATAAAAAGTGTGAATCACTTAACCTGAAGAGAAGACTACACTGGCCTGTTAGCATACAGAAAAGGCATCATACTACTTTTACTCAGTGTAGTATTATACAGTTTTCAAAATAAGTTTGAAAATATAGAGTGCAATTCTAAAGAAAGTATATATAAGTGACTACAGCAACATTTATTTCAGTATTTAAAGCATAATATATTTTTCTTAAATTGGAACGGAAAATACTGTGACAGAAAAATAAGGGAATAGGTACACCAAAGGGGTGATGGGAGGAAATACTGTTTCCTCCAGAGGAGCTGCAACAGTACAATTCAGCATCACAGCTGTCTCATCAACTTAAAAAGCTCATCAAAAAGCCAAAGACATTTTTTCTAATTTACATCATCATTAGTGCCAGCCTTAAAATGCATCTTTTTGATTTGCTGTGGTAACACCTCAATATGTCTATTATCTTATGGAAGCAAAGGTGTAACCAAGGAAAACGCTTGATGGTTAACTCAAAACTTATGATGGTTTCAGCTGTAATGAGAGGAAAGGAAGCTGATGTTCTGTTCAAGCACTGGAGAGGTCTGTCTCAGGAAGCCAACAGATATGAAAGTAACATATCCCTTTGTCGTTGCATCTCTAACCATTTCTGCACTCATCACTAGGGTAGCTATGATCATAATACTTCTGCTCACATGGAACCATGAGGCTGGAAAATGCGCTTGTGCGCTTTTTGAAAGTGACTGGATATACCTCAGGGAATTATGGAAAAGGAAAAGGACTTACTGTGTTGTGACAGTACTAGCCACCTTGCTGTGTTGTGACAGTACTAGCCACCTTGCTTCTTCTTCCAGTCATTCCTAATGACACAGAAAGTGAACATTACGCAAAAAAATGTTAGTATGGGGGCAGAAATGCATAGTAAACGAAGGAAATGTTGGAGGCCTCCCTCAGTATCTTGTTTCCAGGGATAGGGGTTGGCAACGGATTTTTCCCTTCTGAGCCTAACTCCCACTGGTCTGGTGAAGAATTTTTGAGAGAGGCTACAGTGGAGGTAGGATGGAATGCTATATACATGCTTTAGGCTTCGTAAAGCATCCGTCTTCTTCAGCTGAAAAGGGCCAAGAATACAGCTGAGCAGATAAAATGGGCCAGCAAAACCTCCCCATCACCTTCTCCAGCCGAGGGAAGGAGGACTGACGTAAGGACTAATACGCATGAAATGAGAGCAGGAACATAAAGGGCATCTAAAAGCTAGCTTGTGTGTTGCTTTCTGCTGAGAAGAATTGTTATGTTTCTTCTCTTGGTCTTCCACACCCTTCACCTCTTTTGCTGTCAGAAGGTTCTTAACCAGCTAGTTCTTCCACACATTAGAAGCTGTTCAATCAGCAGCAAGACCAGAAAGGGAAGAGATAGGCTCATTCTAGCACGGTCCTATGTAATATACACCCTTTACTTGTAATATACACCCTTTACTTGTAATACAGATCAGAAGCCTACACTTCCAGACGTGGCAACCATACACTTCTACGCACAGGTAGACAGTTCTTATTTGCATATCTATTCTCCAGACTCTGCTCAGAAGTCACAAGCTACTGTTGTCTGTTCCTGGCCTTACTTATAAGAAACACATATGTAGCAGTAAGACGAAGGGCCTAAATACTGACTGTTGTTAGGAATCTTCTCATACTGTAAACTGTCTTGAGAATTCTTGCAGGGAAGCGTATATTGCTCCCATTACCTAACTCCAGTGTAGCAAGTACCATTCAGTTTGTTGGATCAGAAGGCAAAGATCTGATATCCATTTCTTTCATCTTTGTTAGTCCCTACTTTATTTATCGCTACCATCCACAGGGACGGATTTCCACTCCAGTCAAAATCGGTCAGAAAGTCAGTCAGTCATCATGGAGAAAATCAGCCAGCACCTGTTGTAGCAGGAATTCTTTGATAAACAGGAACCCATCTCTTAAACAGCAAAGAGAAGATTCTGTGTGGCCGACCGCCAACAAACACTCATTCATTTACACAATAACCTTGAAAGAACTGCTGTAAGCATCAGGTTGCCTGGTAAGACCTTGGCCAACTTTCCCCTCATTAAGTACACGTATTTGTCTCAAAATCTGAATCACTGAGCCTGCAGATTCCATTTAATTAACAGAAATATTCCAAGAGTGAAGAATTAAACAGATTATGCACTTGGAAAGTAAAGAACAAAATTAAAGTCAGCCTCTGTGAGCAATTCATTTGCTGCCTATGCTAAGTAGGATAGATAAATGATAGTGATTATTACGAGGCCTCTTTAATTAGTCAGTGGCTCCTTTCCAAGCACTGAGCTTCTATAGACCTGCCTGATATTTGTCCTCTAATATCAATTGTGGGAGAGTTAAAAACTACATTATCTTGCAAAAATGAGCCTGACTAGTGATCCTAAGCCTCTGTGTTTTGTAAAAACACAAAGAAAACGTTATACAAGGAATGGGAAAAATCCAGACAGAAAAAAATACTGAAAAGTACAAGGACACCTCTGACAAAATTGCTTTTGTTCCGTTCCCATTGTGGATTCCAGCCCTTATTCTCTTGCTCCTGCAGATAATGAACCAGGGCACCATCTTTAAAGACAGAAGAATCTTGATAAATTTCAGATAAAATGGTTTGTAGCAAAGAACTAATGAGCAAGAGCACAGCACAATTAACCGAGTGTGAAACAGTCAAGTGCGGAAAATCCAGAGGACAACTCCTATGGTTCATCCATCCCCTGTGAATTGGAATTGCCAATTATTCTGCAATTCTTCACTTTGAGCCAGAAAGAATGCAAGAGGAGAACCTATCCTGCCCACCCCACTACCCAACCTGCTAAGAAAAGAAAGGATCAGCAGGATATTGCTGCTTCCCTTTTTGACTTCATTATACTGTCTTTAAAAAATTGGATTTGAAGACTTAAGAGCCAGAAATATCAAAGCAAAAAGTTCACTAAAATCCTCAGATAGATAGATGGTTGTATGGGCAGCACCAGGACAGTAATTTGTATGAAAAAAACCCTCTCAGTTAGCTACTTAATATAAAATAAACAACAAACTAAGTTTAAGAGCAGAACAAGAGTGAAAAAGTTCTAGTGTACAGCGGTCGCCTAGTTCTGCAGCACCATTAGCTTGATAATTTTCTATTATAGCCTAAATTAAACCTCAGGAAAACCATGCTATTGTTTAAAAAAGAAAAATAGAATACCTAGTGCTAAAATTATGAAAACACATATTCTATATAACAACAGTATTTATGCAAAAGTCTAAAAGATATCAAGATACCCTAGCATAGAGAAACTACCTCAAATATACAGGAACAAGAGGTACATGTGATCCACAGGTGCAGGAAAAAAGCAGGTTAGTGTATAGCACTATAAGCAAAACAATTTGTAATCATTCAATTACATTTAGTAAGGTCTATGCTGTAATACACATAGACTGAAGAGTCTTGTTAAGCCTGCATCACATTTGGCTGTTTTTCTAAAGAACCTTGCTCCTTAATCATCCACAGTGATTACAAGCTAGTTCGTCCACAAGCTTTATTTTGCAGCAAACCAATTGTCTCTGATAAAAAAAAACAACAACAACAGAAAAAACCCCTCAAGCATGACTGTTGGAATCATTTGCCGCAAAACCTGCTTTAGAGATGTGGCGTGCCCCAAATTTGATTCCTTCTCTCCAAGACAATCCTCAAAACTATCTCAGCAAGTCTAACATCTTGACATATCCCTTAGTGCACACACAGACGCACATGCATCCTCATGCCATGTTCAAACCCTCAAGCACTGTGCTATTGCTCAGGCAGGCTTAGACAGTGCAAAAATTGATTTAATTACATCTTGATAAAAAAAATTATTGTAGAATCTGTGCTGAGATGTTATGGTGATGGCCACTAGCCCAAAAAAAAGAATCTAGCAGTTTTATATGAACCCGCTGAAATATCATGATATACACCATCCTATAGTTTTTATTACCTTTTCCTCAGGGTGTAGGGTTACTGTTCCATGCTCTCGAGTTGAAACAGTAAGGGTAAGTAATGAGCAAGGGTTCTGTTCCAAGGCCTATCCATACCAAAACTGATTATTGAATAATGTTGTTGCTATAGAATACATATTGAAAAGGAATGTGGTTCCTAGAAGCAGGTTTTAACACTTTAAAAAAAAAAAAATCAACATGATTCACTGTGTTTTCAGTTACAAAGGACCGTAGCTCACTGAGATGATATCACCTAGCCAAAACTCTGAGAGCAAATATGGTGCTATTACTGGATTTAGCAACTATTTCCCACTGCTAAGTTCACCACTACAGCTATCATTGGACAATCTGGAAACGTGGATCAATGGGGAAAGGACAAAGGTCAACTGGAAGCTTAGGATCTCTTGAGGCCAGAACTACTTGGATGCAAAGATGGGAATAAGCCTATGTACTCAAAGGTGAAGGGGAGCAGAAAGCAATGTTATACTCCATAGCCCTATTTATTGAAGACATCCATTTTCTCACCTAGGTAAAAGATAATTATGCAGGGTAGCTTTATTCTGTATGCTTATCAATTTATATAACAAACATGACAGCTGCCTTGTGTCTATGTGGCTGTGTGGGCGCCAGCAGCACATACACTCTGCCAGGTATCCAGTGTTACCCTCCGTTCCCTGTCCATGGTCCTGTGCACTAGGCAGTAACAAGGACTGAATTCCACAAACACCTCCCAAGTTTCCCTTTAAAAACTCCTTTTTCCTTTCCAGTCCCTACACTTCCAGCTATAGCAAACAGATGAACAAGGCTGCAGAGCCCTGCAGATAAAGGAACAATGTCAGGAAGGTAACAAGAGCACAAACCGGAAAGCAAAAGAAAGGTAAAGTAGTACATGGAAGGCAACAAGGTGCAAGAAAGGACTAGTGAAGGGACAGCTATAGAAAACCCACGTGTAAGTCAAAATCCTGCAGGAAATCTTCTAGCTATGGTTTCAAAAAGTTAAAATAGACAAAAATAAAGGAAAGTCTTCCAAACCTTTGGGGTAGAGAGTTCCCTGGGGGTGTCAGAGATAGGGTGTAGAAGGAGACTTGAGCCATCACTTCACTGATCTACTCAACATGAGGAGTGGCTCTGACCCCTCACAGAAACTCCAAGGCAGTGTAGACGTTTAATAGAAAGAAAAAGATGGTCAAAGTAAATGAGAAAGCAGAGCGGATCATACTACTCCTCAAGCAAGTACCAATCAAGACAGAAGACGCTGTCCTGACCTGATTATTGTCTGCTTCGCTTTATCCACGTAACTGTTTTGGTGTTCTTTAACAGTCTGAGCTTCCAATGAAGTTCCAGTGTCAGCAGTGTGATGCTGACTGCTGTCAGTGAACCTATTCAGGAACAACTAATTTTGAAGGAATAACTGTGTAAATACTTCCTCCAGAATAAAAGGCTCTTGATCTTACTTAATCCATCTTTAAGAAAAGAGAAGACAGTTCTTTAGGTGAGAAAGGTATATATGTGTGCAAGAGAAGAGAAATAAAATCTTTTTCAGAAAAGAACAATTAAAACAAAATCTGATATTTTCCCCCAAATTAGTTATCTCAGAGATTTACAAGTATTAAGTCTACCCTGTTGCCTGCTAAAGTAGGCTCACCCCAGTATCTGCTCCCTGGGCACTCCAGGCTTGTTCAGGAGGTTTCTCAGCGCCACCTTCTGGGACAGCAATTGCATTATGAATTCCTTAAATCCACCCAGAGACAAAACCAGCATGAGCTGAGAGAGAATGTTTCTTTTCTCTGAAATGTAGTCTGAACGAACTAAATACACGTTACTGATGTGCACGCTGGCTAGATGTTAAAAATACAGCTATCCAAAAAAAATTTAACATTGCTCAGAAAACCAAAGAGGAAAATATATTCACCTACACTAGTTCTCTCCCCTCACCGTTCCCACAACAGGAAAAAAAAAAGGTTTGGCACACAGGGTCTGAACTGATTAAGACTCCTCTGGATTACAGGAAGGTCTCTAAAATTCTAAAAGCATTGGCTTTGCCTAGAAATTGCCTCGCAACGTACTTCTCTGCAACAAGGAAGCCCAAATTGGAAACTTTTGCTGGTTCTAGTTGCAGCAGTGTTGCAGAAACAGACCTGCATCTCCAAAGCAAGCAAGCTGAGATCTCCAGCTTGCTCTCCCCACCTGGGTGCAATGAATGGGAGTATAAGTATGGGCAGTTGCTGGCTTTCAGCAAGGCTGCTCTGTACTTCTTTCTGTCTGGTGTGCTGACCAGCAAGACAAGATAAAGGCATTTATGATCTAGACAGCAGCAGAATAACATTTCTTATTAGGTTTGAACAGATTATTTGGGATATTTTGGGAGAGAGGGAGAAAGTAAGGAAGGAGTTAA